TACCCCAAGGATAATTCCTCTATCTTTCGGAAGTCAACATGTCTTCTTTCTTTTCCCCTCTTTTTGGGAAAAATTCCCTTGGGACCCAGCATTCCCACTTGATGTGCCCCCTTCTTACACAATTCACAAATTTCTTTCCTCACAATTATAGCATTCCCCTTCTTCTCTGGGTACCCCATTGTCCCCTCTATTCTTCACCTCTTGTTTCCATGCCTTGAGGGTAGAGATTTTCACTTCACATACCTTTCCTTAGGCTTCCGTTCTGCCCCACTTTATTATTCCATTGTTTGTTTTCAAAACGAAAGGTCATTTTTCTTAACTCTGCAGCTTCCATGTTAGTAGTGGCTGTGGGATTGAGTAACTCCAAACGCTACCTTTGTATACAGGAGGTATTTGGTTATCAGATTCCTCAACTAGTGAGTTGACGTAACATCTGTGAAGTCATTTCTGCATTTGGAAACCCCGGAATGGCCATTTTATAAGTGGACCACATCGAATATGAGGCAGGTGGCTTGTTAAGCCCTTGTTGGAGATTATCGAAAGTCTTGGTGTTCCCTAAGTGCTGCCCATGGCAACTATTTGAAGTGCAGCATATTCCCTTGTTCCCTGTTTAGATGTAGATGTAAGGAGGCTGGCAAACAGGCTACTAAATAAAGTAAATAACAGCAGTTTCTGTTCATAGATCATAGAATCCCTACAGTGTGGAAACAGGCCCTTCGGCCCAACAAGTCCACACCGACCCATCCCCCTATAACCCACCTAAGCTCCACATCCCTGAACACTACGGGCAGTTTAGCATGGCCAATCCACCTAGCCTGCACATCTTTGGACTGTGGGAGGAAACCGGAGAACCCGGAGGAAACCCACGCAGACACGGGGAGAATGTGCAAACTCCACACAGACAATTGCCCAAGGGTGGAATCGAACCCGGGTTCCTGGTGCTGTGAGGCAGCAGTGCTGACCACACATGCCCTATTTCATTTCTCAAATAAATTGAGCACTGCTTCCTTGGTTTATCAAGAGAATTTGACCATGAAAGTTCTCCTGTAGCTTTGTGTTTTTCTAGGTCAACATTACTATAATTAAAATCTTGCAATATTGCTAACTCTACTTCTTATTTTCTCACAGCTTTGAAATGTGCTGTCAACTTTGCTAATTTGTGGTCTTCTCACTGTGAGGAGCTCTCTCTCTCTCCCACCCTATCCAAATTATGGCAAGTTGCCATCTGATCCAACTCCTGGAAATGCCTGCGTGGGTCCCTCCCAAAATATAATTTAGGAAATTTATCAGCATGAGAAAATAGGGAATTACAAAGTCTACGTTGGTAGAGAGTTAAGATGCTAGACTCCATTATCAAGGATTTTATAGCAAAGCACTTAGAAAACAGAGGTCGAATCATGTAACTAGTAGAGTTAAGGATGTAACTAGTAGAGTTGATCAGGGAAGCCAGTGGACATGTTTTATTTGGACTTTCAGAAGTGCAAGGGATTGGGGTAGTGTATTGAGATGGATAGAAAATTGGTTAGCAGACAGGAAAGAAACAGTGGAAATAAATGGTAGGCAGTGATTAGTCGGGTACCGTAGGGATCGGAACTAGGACTCCAACTGTTCATATTACATGTTAATAATTTAGATGAGGGAACTAAATGTAATATCTCAAAATTTGTAGATGACACAAAGCTGGTTTGAGCTGTGAGGGCAATGCAGAGATACTGCAGTGTGATTCGGATAGGCTGAGTGAGTGGGCAAATGCATAGCAGTATAATGTGGATGAATGTGAGGTCCTCCCCAAGTCCCCAGCACTCATTGCATACGCTACCACTCTTGTTCACTTCGAATCCTCCCACAGCCTGTTCACCTTATTCTGACATGAGTTCTGATTCTCCCCGATAGTGTCTTTGCAACTTTTCTTTGACCAGGCAGTAATTTGCTATTTTGTGGTCTGAGCAGTGTTTTTCAGCTTCCTCAGTGCTGCAACGTTGCTTAAATTCCTTTTCTGTCAGACTGTCACGTTACTTTTGTCTCTTCCTTTTTCTTCTTCTAGGAAGTGACACACATTTAACAAATTGCTGTCAGCTGTACCACTTCTCCCTTTCTAACAAATGTTTTTCTGATTCCTCTTCTCATCTCCACCTCTCCTTATGCAAGTATTTCCACAACCCCTCTGCAACAGCCTCCCTCTTTTATAATTTTCATTTCAATTCATCTGTCTCTTGATGTGAGTTCTTTTCTTTGATTTGCCATTATCAAGATGGCCTCTGTCATACCTGCCTTGCAAGTAGACCTCCAGGAACACTCAGCTTCCTGGACTGGAACAGTTCTGTGATAGTTTAGTCTATCACTGCTGAGTTACATTACATAGTTAAACACATACACTTCTTCAGACACAGAAACATGAAGACGAGTGACCTTCCTGATCATTAGGCTATCATCTGACCAATTAACATGTCAGTAGAGCAATCTTCTATTTTTCAAATTTCATTTCTACCAACCCAACAAATTTTAGGTAACTAGCTACATTCCTCATTTGCTTAATTAGGTGAAAATGTTTACATTTTGGGAAAAATAAATTTCAGTCTTACAGGCTTATAAAAACAGCCACAGTGTCAAAATCTTAGTCATATTCTTGTACTTGTCATTACAGCAAGAATTACCCAAACTGCATACTGGGAAAAAAAATTGAATAGATACTTGTGAGGAACAGTCTTTTCAACTTTTACGTAACACTTATAAGACATTCTGAACTTTATTATAAACGTTAGAATTCTAAATGTGTTATCTTTAGTGACTGAAGTGTCAACTTTTTTTATATTTGCAGGATTCTTTATATTATGAGCAACTGAAGTCAAATGTGATTCAACATGATCTTTTAATTGATAACCTCATTTACAAGGTATGAAAAAAAACGATCTTTTGTTCTTTTCCCACAAGTGGCATTGCTGGGTAACAAGGAGTGAAGGGATCTGGGACCTGTGACAGACCTCTTGCACACTTGTGGCGAGTGTTTCAACATGAGATGCCTAATTTAATTGAGCCTTTAATTCTCACCTATGGTTAGTCTTTGAACTGGTAGTATGCTCAAATGACGAAATATATTCACGATAGCTCTATTCATTTTCCAACCCTGGCTGAGGGAATTATAAAGGAAAGAATTTTTTTTTGTGGAGTTCTAAGAGCAGGGGTGGAAGTGTGTACTGAGAGCAGCTGTGGTTACTTATTGAGACTGGTCTTGTTGCATCCAACGTTGCATCTTTCCATCATGTTGAAGGTGATGTTTAATCTGATCAGAAGACTGCTGCTTTCTCAGCTCGTTAATCTCTATCACGTCCACTCTTTGTCTGCTACAGATGTGCAGGGAACAGCATGCAAGGTTTTTCCAGTGCACTTTGTCTGGATTGTATTGCACCAATCTAAACATTACAACCTCATCTCCAGCAGGCCTATCAGGTGATTCACTATGGGGGAAATAGACTGTATCGTATCTGCTGTAAGCCTCAGTCAGAAGTTGGCGTAACAAAGTCATCAGCCACAGTTATAGAAGGTACTCCTTACCTCCCAGTCAGATTCCTTAAGTAACCAAAAAAGAACTAGTTTTCAGAAGCAAAACTTACTGAAGCAAATATTTTAAAATTATTAACAAAAAGTTTAATCATTGCAAATATACAGAATAACCCTTTCTGAAAACACACAAACGTACACAACCTCTGATATTGGGACAAAGTCTAAAATTTCTGCACTTTGGGAACATAACAGTTAAATTCAGAAAAAAAAGTTCCATAGCTAAAGTCACTTTGCTCAAAGGCTGTTGGCACCGGATGTTTTCCTGTATCAATTATGGGTGGCAGAAATTGTTTTTCTGATAGTGGTGTAGATTCTGAGTTCTCCTTTAGGAATCCTCCTCACATGGTGATGAGGCTTTCCATTGAGTTTCACCTCTCAATCTTTGATGAGAAGGATTTTAGAGAAAAGAAAATGCAGGACAAAGGCTGTTGCTACAGATGAGTTATATCTCTGATTAAAAGCAAAATGCTCGGAATGCTGGAAGTCTGAAATAAATCAGAAAACTTTGGAATAACTCAGCAGGTCAGTCAGCATTTATGGAAAAAGAAACAGCTAGCATTGTGAATCATATATGACTTCTTCAAAACTAAAGGACTCTACAAATTTTAATATTGTGGAGTATACGCGGTCTCAGCTAAACAGCTGTGGTCTCACATTCATCTATACAACCTCATTGATTATAAGTAAATTTTAAACTGCAATTTTTAAGCTACCTGTTTTACCTTTCCCTTTTAAAGCTTTATATCTGTGCTTGTATGTGCACTTGATGTCACATAAGACATTAAAAGTAGGAGCCGGAGTAGGCAATTCCACCGTTCAATAAAATCATGGCTGATCTTGTCTCGGCTTCATGTCTACTTTCCTAAGTAGCCTCCATAACCTTTCAACCCATTACTAATTAAAAATCTATCTCCTTCTTAAATTGACTTAATGTCCCAGCATCCATTGCACTCTGCGCATAGTGAATTCCACAGATTCATGACCCTTTGAGAGCAGTAATTCCTCCTCATCTCTGTTTTATACCTGCTACTCCTTATCTGAAAATTATGATTTTTCATACTAGACTGTCCCACAAGGGGAAACACCAGTTCTGCTTCTACTTTGTCAATCCCCTTTAATGGATGTTGTGGACCTCAATTAGATCTCCTCTCATTCTACTAAAATCTAGACACAATTGGCTTAAACTATTTATTTATTCACATTTTATTCTTTTACTTAGGGTCAATACGTAATAAAATTCGTCCTTTCACTCAAGAGAATCTTGTAAATGGCTCCTTGGTGTTGCCTAGTATGTTTTAATCAAACGGTAATACAACTATGTGCCAAGATGAATTGAAGATATTTGCTGCAACCAATCGAAGGGGTTATAAAAAAGGAAATTGCCTCCCCCCTCTTCACCTGGTTGTAATAGTGTATCCAACTCCTTTCTCACTGCTCTCAATCACTGCCCCCCTCCAAAAGAACATTTCTAGAGCAATTGGAAAAAAAATGTGGTGAGGGTCTGTTATTTCTGATGAACTTCCTTTTTCTGCTTCTAGGATGTGAAGCTTACAGCTAGCAATGATGACTACTATTTTGTTTTTGAAGATTATTTGTATCAGGTCAGTTGAAATATTCCAGATAAATCCAAAATGTATCAAGGAACAGCAATACTTAATTTTGTTATTGCAATTCTGTTAAGAGGAAATTTTAATATGAACTTTTGAGTGACTAAAATATACAAATAAAACAAAGTGTTTACTTTTTGTTGTGGGGCTCTTTACATAAGCTTTGTGTATTTTTATTCTTTCAAGAATGTGTCGTTTAGAGTTTTTGCAGTATTTTTACTCTAGTAACTAGTTTGGGACAGGTAGCTGCAATTTGGAATCTAGTTGGGCAGATGTTCATACTGTCTGGTTTTAACTAATCCTTAGCTCATGAGGGTACTCTGGACCAAGATCCTATCCTGGTAGTTATAATTTAATTGTTTAACAGACATGGGCTGGAGCATCTACCTAGTTTTAAACATTTGGCTCAACTTCAGGTATATTCATAGCATCCAGAGGGCTCAGACCACCTCTTTCAGCACAGTTTAAACTTGATTTTACAATAAACTTCGAGTTGGATCTCATTTGCAATTGAATCAAAACATTTGAGACTGTCTCCTATAGAAATCTCACTAACGAACCATAAATTCTTGGCATCTGGTCTTCGGAACTATGTCAAGCCCTTTCTTTTCAAAATCTGATAGGTCTGATCAATCAACAAGTACTGATCAGTGAAATTGAAATTTTAAACATTGCTTTATTACAGAATTATAATTCCCTATTTTATTGTCCAACAAAAAGGGTGGAAGATACCTCTGAGATTGGCCTAATTGGCAAATTGTAACAATATAGTATGAGGGTGATTTAATAAATCAACTTGCTAACCTGGACCTCCACCAGCTTAGGAAATAGTGGCCATTGATATTTGAAATGTTAGCAAATGCAAGGTTTTTGTTAATCCGTAACCAAACAAATGTGCGAAGAAAACTTGTTCATGTTTTGATGGACATTCTAGCTTAGATATTGCAAAATTTAGTATGATCCATATGAGCAATACTATTATGATTTATAGAACATGAGAACATATGAACTAGGAACAAAAGTGGGAAATTCAGCCCCTCAAGCCCGCTCTGTCATTTAATATGATCATGGCTGATCTCATCTGGGCCTCAACTCCATTTTCCTGCCAATCCCCATAACCACTCAACCCATTACTAATTAAAAATATGTCTCCTCCTTAAATTGACTTAATACCCCAGCATCCATTGTACTCTGGGAGTAGTGAATTCCATAGATTCATGACCCTTTGAGAGAAATAATTCCTCCTCATCTCTGTTTTAAGTCTGCCACCTCTTATCCTAAAACTATGCCTTGTTATCCTAGATTGCCCTAGACGGGACAACATCCACTTTACGTCTGTTCTATCGATCCCCTTTAGCATCCTATTTACCTCAATTAGATCTCCCCTCATTCTTCTAAACTGTAGTAAGTATAGAACTAAACTGCTCGTAGGACAAGCCTTTCATTTCTGGCATTAATCCAGTGATCCTTCTCTGAACTGCGTCCAGTGCAATTACATCCTTCCTCAATTAAGGGGGCCAAAACTGTATGCAGTACTCCTTGTGATAGGCCTTTTTTGAAATGGTAAACCTTTGTTCCTAATATCCGGAAGCAAACCTTTACAGGGAAGCAGTGCTTTTCTAGAGAAACGTCAAGCTGTTGCATGTGATCTGAATCTGGAAATATCTTGGTGTTCAAGTTGTGCATTTTAGGTCTGTTCTATCTAGTTCAGACAGGTGATTTCACCTCATTTAAATTTATTGAAATGTAAGCTATACTGATTATCTATACCTAGAATTATCAGTTGATTTAAAAAGTCTTGAATCTTTGTGCAGCTTGAAAACATAATTATCAAACATCATAAAAGTTGTAAATTATGACATTACAGTCTGTGGATTAACTTGTAGACATTATTAGGATTTCTGCACTTAAATGCTTTGTTAGTGGAAAATTGAACTGGAAAATTCCTCTCACCAACTAACAAGTACTAAAATTGAGTATGTGTAAATCAGCTTTTCATTTTGGATTGTGTTGGAAAGCAGGAGAGCGTGATACACTTTATACAATTTAAGACCTTATGATAGGTACAAGGGGAAGGTGCAGTTCAGTAGTGGTATTGTCAAGGAGAATACATCAGTTAATGATGACTGACTTGTTAAGTGCCAAGAGGTCTGATAAAAGAAGAACTGAAGAGCACTTTCCTATTCAAAATATAAGCTGCATTGATTGACACTTTTGAGAAAATGAAATATGCATATGTCAATGTACCTACAATTTTACAGCTTGGCATTTCAATTTCTTTTGCGATATGTTTATCTTGCATAAATGGTGGTGATGTTCCTTCAGTTATGTCAAGATTCCAAAAAAAGAAAAAGTTGCTGCCCATTTATATTTACTAAGTGAGGTGATAGACCTTTGGCAGGGTCCGTCATAAATAAATTACATTAATGAGGAAAATTCCATTGAAAATTGTTGATACTTACCTCCTTCAGTAAGAAATCAGTAATCCTATCTCTATATATTTATTGTCACAACATTTCAAGGCTTACATAGTTCTTTTGATTCCCAGGTGCTATTATGCTTTTCTCGAGACACACTCGTTCTTGATCATTTCAGCTACAGCAGTGCTTCTCCCCCCAAGTCATATATCAGAGGTAAGAAGGCCTGTTTGCAATTGTATTCTGCATCACATCTATGTCTACTGAAAATTTTAGCAAGTTGAACATTATTCCTTTGTTTTTATATTGTTTTATATAATTGAACTTACAGTTTGGTTATGAAAGGATGTGTCTCAAATGTGCATTTTAATTGTTACCTATAATATCAAAGTGCCTCTAAACAGTGTGCAATCTTAAAATCATTTAAATTTCTGTCAGAAAATGATACAAGTCTGTTCAGCTATTTGTATCAGAAATTGTTTTCTTTTATGACAACAGGTGAGGAGAATAGATTAGCTTCCCTTTTTTTAAACGCCTTCTTGATCCATGGTAACAAATATTCTTATTTCTTCTTTTGCACATAGCTATCGCTGATCAATTAAACTTCGCTAACCAGATCAAAATGAAAGAAACCCACTTTCGATGTTTTATTGAGTGAAAGCGAGTAGAGTTTTATTATCTATGAAATCTGAGAAAAATATCAAAATATACGCACAAACATAGGAATTGGGGAGGGGTGTCTAGAACAGACAGGAAGGAAGAGACAATTGCAGTTTTTGTTTTGGAGTCTTTGGTTTTCAAAAGTGAAACCTGATGGTTTAAATGTTCCTTAGGAGTGGCGAAGTATGCAGATAATCTTGATTTCTTGGTGAACAGAGATAGTAGGAACTGCAGATGCTGGAGAATCCGAGACAACAAGGTGCAGGGCTGGATGAACACAGCAGGCCAAGCAGCATCATAGGAGCAGAGAGGCTGACGTTTCGGGCCTCGACCCTTCATCAGAAAAGGGGGAGGGGAAGGGGGTTTTGAAATAAATAGGGAGAGAGTGGGAGGCGGATAGA